GGCAACTAGGGATGGGGCAATAAATGTTGGTCACAGCCAGGGACCCCCATGTCCGATAAATGATTTTTTTTTTAATGTGTGACTGTTTTGATGTGTAACTAACTGTGTATTGTAAATATTTTCTAAGTGACCTGTTCAGAGATATTATATACCCTCCCAAGATGGCAGTGGAGTCAGACTCTTCAGACAGCGCTCGTTTGCTTCATCTGTTTAATTACATTCTTCTCTCTCTTTTTCCTTTTATGTGTTTGTTTTCATTCTTTCATCTCAGTGATGTCCCGAACCCCAGGCCTCAGCGTGGACCCAGTGTGGCGGTCTCTCTGTGCCCCAGTGTGGCGGTCTCTCTGTGCCCCAGTGTGGCGGTCTCTTGGCCTGGCATGGCCTCAGCATGGACCTCAGGCCTTGAGATGATTCCAGAGTGGTCTCCCAGCCTCAAGCACCTTAAAGTGAAGCCTGGTGTGGACTGGGGTCAAGGGCCAGTGCAGACTAAAGGCTAGGTGCCGTTATGGAGTGGGTTGGAAGGGACTGTTATTCTGAACTTTTTATTTCTCTACTCTAATTTATCTCTACAATTCATCTCTGGACATTTTAACTCTTTGTTTTTCTAATTTGTTTTCTTTAAAAATTTGCATTGAAGAAGCTGCACACCAGTGCCTTTGTACTTAAGATGGTACCGTATGTGGCAACTTCTAAACATTTGACTGTACTCACTTGAGCACATGCCAATAAAGCTAATTCTAACTAGAGTCACGGAGTCACAGAGCTGAACAGCAGGGAAACAGACCCTTCTGTCCAACTCGTCCATGCCGACCAGACATCTAAAATTAATTTAGTCCCATTTGCCAGCATTTGGCCCATATCCCTCTAAACCATTCCTATTCGTGTACCCATCCCACTCTCTTTTGCCTTTTTAAAGTGCTGTTGTTTTGATTTTTATTATCTAAAGTTCCAAAACAATGTGACAACTTACAAAACAGTAATTACTGTTCCAAAAATTAAAGGAAATCAGCTTCAACCCTGATAATACCTCAAAAAAAGGAGCAGCTCTTAAAGCTACAACTTTTTCCTGTCCTCCATCTTGAATTACCCAGAATCCTCTTTCTAATGACACATCCATGGGAGCAGATGGGACTTGAATGCAAGCTTCCAGGCTCAGAGATAGAGACGCTACCATTGTGCCTCTGACTGTATTGTAAACTTGTTATGTGAGAAGTGCCTCAGTGGGACTCGAACCCATGCTGTGTGTTAAGCAGTGAACCAGCACTGGCTACGCAAGCCCTGTGTTTACCTGAGCTTCAGTTCCGCCCAATCCAGTGTTAGCATTCCCACCACTCGCTGTGCCAGTTGTCCATTCAATATTCCCGTAGTTTAATATAATGAAGGATTGTAGTCCATTTGTGATGAGTACAGCCTGGAAACTGTTCACCTGGAATATTGCAGACATGGAGTTCATATTAAAATCTTTAAACAAAGCCTATCACACAGCCTTGTGTTACCCCGGGGTTACACACAGTCTGTAACCCACTCTCACTGTCACACAGCCCTGTGTTACCCCAAAATTAAACACAGATAACCACCCTCATTCCAAATTTCAACATGTGGTTTGGGGGTGGAGTTGGGGTTGGGGTTGGGGGCGATGATCAGTGCAGCCCTGTGTTAGAATTCTGACTCTCTGTGAGGATTAAGTTGAACCTTGCTGCCTGCTTGTTTGTGAAGACAGGCCATGCAGTTATAGTTACTTTCCTGGATAATGGGATTCCCTTCCCGACACTACGATAACTGATAATGAACCTTTCACACTGAAAGCACTTTCCTGGATCAGATCCCACATTGAGACTCGAACCCTGAGCGACTCTCGCTCCTCTGGCTCCAAGTCTCCTTTTGCTTCAGGCTGTTTGAGGCTCAGTGGATTGTGTACCTCTCTGTCTCTCTCTGAGGAGAGCCGTGATGTGAAGGATCTAGTGTTGGACTGGGGGAGACAAGGTCAAAAATCACACAACACCAGGTTACAGTGCAAGCTTTCGGAGCTGGCCCCAGCGTAAACCGCAGAGAAACTCGAAGCAAGACCTCACACCTAAAATGCATTTCCTGTCCTGAGATGTCACCTCTTGTATATATTGATAAAACCTTTAATTATCTTGGGACAATGACTGGAAAGAAATCTGGATTTTGTATTTTAAATCCTTCCCAACTGTTTCAACAAGCTTCAACAAGAAGCAGCCACTTTTAGGTTTGTTTCTGCATATAAATTCTGTGTCTTATTCCCTCTCTCACACATTACACCTGAGCAAGAAGCTGAGCTCCCAAAACCGGTATTTTTAAATAAACCTTTTGGACTATAACCTGGTGTTGTTTGATTTTTGGCCTTCGCTGAGGAGGTTACATTCTCCAGTCTCCCTGCAGCCCAGTTCCAATTAGCGCAGCACTCACTCTCTCAGTCTAGACTCTTCAGGGTCAGTGGGAGACAGGTTCCCAAACTGACCCCTC